GTTCGTGCTGGTTCAGACGCGGTGGCAGCTGGCTCGTTCTTCTCCGTGGTCGCGGAAATCATGTCACTTTTTTCAGTGATGTAACTTTGAACGGTCACTAAATGAACTGTTGTAAGTCAAGGACTACCTGCAATAAGCCCCTTGGGGACTTTTTGTGACAATTCCTTCTAATACTTATTCCCCTTAGCACAATTTTGTCTTTAATTATCTAAAAGGAAAGATAGCATCCATTTTCATGATATTTTCTGTTTAAAAAAATGTTTATTGTTTTTAATCAGTTTGTGTAGGTTGTTCTCGACTTATGATCGGTTGCTAAGAGACTGTTTGAAATTATGGCCTACCTGAAAAAAGAAACCTATGAGGATTACTTGTTTACTTCCTGTTTCCTGGTTGTTTACTCTTTTTTTTTAAGGCATGGGATTGGTGGAGGGGAATTGTATTTTCAATACAACAGGATCCAGAGATTTGCTGTTATAGTCATCAAAATAGGCAAGAGGACTTGCAGAATAGCTGCTCAGCCTTTTACACATCAGCCATTTTCTTCCTTCTAGGGCATCTGTCTGCAAAACTCTTGTTCCGCTTGGAGATTGACCCAGATAGGGTGAAATACCGAGGAGAATTTAGGAATGGCAAGAATATTATAAACGGAGCCGAAGAAATCTCTCTAAAGCCAGTGTGTGTACTGGAGGAAATTAATATCACGGTAAATCAAAAGTCGTTGTTAAATCTCTTGTTCATAGATTCTAAATTTCTAAATTCTAAATTTCTACCTCTTGTGTGTCGGTGAAGCATCTTCTTGAGAAGGTTGGCTAGTCTGCCCCCAGATATTGCTAATGTGATGGTTACCAGCCACATTACCGTACAAGAATCCTTGCTTAAGCAGCTCCTGTCATTGTCTTTCAGAATTGCATTGAGGATTACTTGTCAGCCATCAAGCTCCTTGTGAATTTGTCCCTTGAGGAAGATGATTTACTGAAGACTGGACTTCCTAGGCCTATTCTGAATCCTTTAAGCAATAGGACAATGGTGGAGGTGAGACCTTATTTGTTTGTGTGTAAGGGGGGGAATAACAGATTTAGCCATCAGCAGAAGAGAATCTGTAGTAGCGAGCTCCTGTTACTTGTCCCAGCTTCTGCCAACCTAGCAGTTCAAAAGCTTGTAAAAAATGCAAGTAGAAAAATAGGAATCACCTTTGGTGGGAAGGTAACAGCGTTCCGTGCGCCTTCAGCACAGAGATGTCTTCGGACAGTGCTGGCTTTTCGGCTTTGAAACAGAGATTAGCACTGCCCCTAGAGTCAGGAATGAAGCATCATCAGAGGTGATATCCAGCAGGTTCTGACCAGTTGTGGAGAACCAGTAGCAGAAGATTTGAGTAGTTCGGAGAACCAGTAAATACCACCTATGACTGGCCCTGCCCCCATCTATTCTCTGCCTCCCGAGTCCCAGCCGATCAAGAGCGAATGGGGATTTTGCAGGAATCTTCCCCTGGAGTGGGGAGGGGATGGAGATTTTACAGTATCCTTCCCCTGCCACATCCACCAAGCCATGCCACGCGCACCAAGTCATGCCCACAGAACCAGTAGTAAAAAAAATTGAATCCCATCACTGACTAGCACATATGTGCAAAGGGAGCCTTTACCTTTAAGAAGAGAATGTAAATCAGGGTTGAACGGTGGTGTCCTTACTGCTCTCTGAGCTTGGTTGTTTTCTGGCAGACATTTCAATACCGAAGTGGATAACATCATCAGTGCCAGCAGAGAATAGGCTTTGCTCTCTGTTTATATATCAGTTGCTTGCTCTGTCAGTATTGGTGGGAATGGCCTTAATTGGGCTGTTGCTACTGTTAGCTTGTTTGAGTAAAAGATTAACATTAGACTAACAATCAAGACACAAACAATACCCCCATCAAGGAACTGCCCAACAAGCTAACAGTACACAGCAACCCAATCAAGGAACTACCAAGACCATTCCCGCTGACAGTGACAGGGCAAGCCTCTAGAATGTAAAACGAGAGCAAATCCCACTCCCACCATCTTAAAGACATCTGGGAGGAAACCAGGAGATGGGCCTCAACCTGGCATACTTTAGCATAGGGTAAATATATATATGGATATTCTCAATCATCCAGGTCATGGTTGTCCCCAAGGTGCTTTTTCAAGAGGCAACTGGACTTTCTGGTTTTTCTTTGAAGACATTTTGCTTGTCACCCAAGAAACTTCTTCAGCTGTGACTGGATGGTGGGGAATGGAAGGATTTATATTCCTTGTAGACAACAGATTATTTGCATTCTTTTATGGGGTCACTGAGGCTACTTGGAGGTTTGTCTGTGTCCTCAGGGTCACCTGAATAGTGGGGGAGGGGAATAAATGTGACATCATCTATCTCCAGTGTACAATAAAGTCCTTTCAGCACTTCCAAGAAAGCTCCACACCCATTTGCACTACTCAGGTGACCCTGAGGACACAGACAAGTCTCCAGGTGGCCTCAATGACTCTCTCTAAAAGGACGCAAATGACCAGCTGTCTGTAAGGAATATAAATCCTTCCATTCCCCACCATTCAGTCAGAGCTGAAGAAGCCTCATGGATGAGAAGTGAAAGGTCTTTGAAGAATAACAAGGAATGTTAGCAGGGTAAGATATTACACTGGATATGTGTAAATATTTCCTCTTATCAAATACAACAGATTCCTTTTGACAAGAACTGTGGAACAGATGACATCTGTGTGGCCGACCTGAAAATCACCTTCCATTCTTCAGGGTAAGTATAAATTCCTTGATACCCTCAGTCACTTTTCTTCAAAGAATATGAGAAAAATCAGAAGCTGTCTAGGAACTGCAAGGTTTCAGTTTCATCAATATTAATCCGCATTTATGTAGCCTGGTTTTAAATAACGGGCAGTCTTCACTTCACCATCAATTGCTTAATGGCTGTTCAAAGTTATGATGGATCCCAGAAAATTACTTATCCACCCCTTCCAGTCATGTGTTCGCATTTCAGGCATTCGTCAAGCAGTTCATATTTACATCTGGTTGCAGCATCCCAGGGGCTTCTGAATGCAATTTGCGATTTTTTTTTCCAGTTTCTGGTACAAAAAGCATGCATTTGAGAGAACGGATCTGCTTATCATCCAAATGATTTGTTTAATGACTATAGTGACTCACTTTGTAAAAGTCATAAAATAAAGTCAAGTCACTTAGTGATCCACTTGATGATTACAAAGGTATCGACCAAAATTCTAGGCTCTGTGATTGTTAAGTGAGGACTATCTGCAGATTGTTTTAATAATCCTTTGTAAAACATTGAAATTTAATGTGAAGCTGAGTGAAGCCAAAGATGACAAACATGGCTATGGAGAAAAATCCTTGAGATTTTAGATTCTGGAGTTGAACAAATTATCTTTCAGAAACTCTTTCTCTTCTACACCAGTTTTTACAGTTCTAAAGGCTCCAGGGTGAAATTGCATTGAATAGCCACTCTTGTGGCTATTTAGCAAGCTTGCCTCAAGGATGCATCAACAGAAGGATACTGTCAAGATCATGTGAAGTGCTAATACTGCTTTATATTATACCAATAAAACCATATTGGGAATAGATTTTTAAGAAGAGATCGGCCATTTGTTCAGAATGGTATAGGTCTCTTGCCCAAGCACAGGGTTGGACTAGAAGACCTCCAAGGTCCCTTCCAACTCTGTTATTCTGCATTTGATTCTGTTTTCTGTATATTTATCGAAACTGGGAACGGAATAGCACTAATCCACTTCTGCTCCTGTACAATAGGTCTAAGGAACTGGTTGTATCTCCTCAATATCCACTGGAAATGAATTTGGAACTGGTGAATCAGCGGGAAGATGCCTATTTTACGATGCTCTACGTGCCTCTGTTGCCAGGCCTTTCTTTCCGCAAACATTCAGTGCTGAAAGTATGTATGCCATCTTTTCAAACGCAGGACTTTGCAGTGGGTGTATTCCTCCACCTTCCACCCCCACCCCACTCCTGGTGCCATGATTCTGTCTGCTGGAACAGCAGCTCCCTTTTTACCTGTCCGAAGAATTGGGCTAAAGGAAAAGCCACAGAGTTTGAGTTTTTTGAAAAAGGAGTGTTTCTAATGGCCCAAAAGTGTAGGCTATGTGGTGACTGTAACCTCTCTATGGCAGGGTTCCCCAACCTGTGGGCTTTGGGCCATGTTCTGTTAGCCACTGGGCCACTTGAGTGGCTGGCCAATACATGTGTGTGCCCGCACCCCCTACTCACACTAGTGTTGCAGGGTCAAATGGGCACTATCATCGCCATGAGCGCACACTCCCCCAATTTGTGCTGGTGCATCACATGGGTGCTTTCATGACCTCGAGTGCACATATTCCCCAGTCGCACTAGCATTGTGGCATTGCATGGGCACTATCGTTGGCGCAAGTGCATACCCCCCACTAGTGTTGCAGTATCGCGTGGGCGCTAGCATCCCACAGGTACTCATGGCCCTGTTTGCGTTGAGCGTGCACTCACACTCCTGTTTGCGCATGCACATGTAAAGATTACTCCCCACCCCTCCCAGGGCCAATCCAGAAATGTTGGGGACCCCTGCTCTATGGCATGGGTCTCACCCCAATGGGATTAACCCACCCCACCCAATCTGGTCAAAGGCGCATGCTGTGGATTCCATCAGCCAGGGAATTCCAACTGGAGGGCTTAGGGAGAAAACCATGTTTTCTGCCATGATTCCCACCTTATGAAAAATCCTGTCCTTCAAGGTGGGATCCCTTCCCCCACCCCACCCCACCTTTTGGCTTTCTGAAAGGGACTGAAAACCTGGCTGTGCCAATTGGCTTTGGGGCCTGATGGAGGACTACTTGTATGGAGGTGGTTAGTAGCTTGGAAGATTCCATCTGCATCCCATTTACATATGGTCACGCTCTACATGGGGCTGCTCTTAAAGAGTGTTCGAAGACTTCAGTTAGTCCAGAATGCAGCCGCGCGAGCGATTGTGGATGCACCTAGGTACACCCACGTCACACCTATCCTCCGTGAGCTGCACTGGCTACCCATTAGTCTCCGGACTCGCTTCAAGGTGCTGGTTGTAACCTATAAAGCCCTACATGGCATCGGACCTGGGTACCTGAGAGACCGCCTCCTGCCGATTACCTCCCTCAGACCGATTAGATCTCACAGGTTAGGTCTCCTCCGGATTCCATCTGCCAGCCAATGTCGCTGGTGACTCCCCGGGGGAGAGCCTTCTCTGTTGCAGCTCCAGCCCTCTGGAATGACCTCCCCGTGGAGATCCGGACCCTTACTACCCTCCCGGCCTTTCGCAAAGCCACCAAGTCCTGGCTGCTCCAGCAGGCCAAGGGGCTTGTGAAAGACCCAGCCCCACGGAAATTGTGAATGTTGCGTTTTTAAAGTCTATTTATCCCCCTTCCCTTGTCTATTGTGAGCCGCCCGGAGTCCTTCAGGAGTGGGCGGCATACAAGACAAATAAATGAAATGAAATGAAATGAATGGTCCTTTTAACTCAGCTCCTTGAGAATTTTAATCTTTTAACTTTTAAGGCTGAACATTGTTAATGTTTTAAACCTTCTAATTCTTCCATCTTGTTGCTTTATTATTTATTTGTATCCTGCCTCTGTTATTTTTATAAATAACTCAAGGTGGCGATCATATCCAACACACCTTCCTCCTCCTGTTTACCTCACCACTACCACCCTGTGAGGCGGTTTGAGCTGAGAGAGAGAATTTTATGACATTGTAAGACACCCAAAGTCACTTGATAGTGAGATGGATAGCATATAAATGTAAGAAATAGATGCAGTCTGGAGCTGCAGGAAGGAGGGGCTCTTTCCCAGAGGCCAAAGAGACAGCAAAGCTGGGAATGTCTGGAAGGCAAGAAGAGAGCAAAAGCAGGCCCTCCTAGCAATTCACAGAGGATATCTATAGTTTTACAGATTCGGTCTGGCAAGATTCTGTTGTAGGCGAACAACAATAGAGAACTATTCAGAAGTATATGTAGCCCTTGACTTATAGGAATTTGTTTAGTTGACTGTTTGAAGTTACAACAGCACTGTAAAAATGACTTATGACCATTTTTCACACTTATGACCAATGCAGAATACCTGTGGTCACATGATCAAAACCCAGCGGCTTGGCAACTGAGTCATATTTATGAGGGTTGCAGTCTCCCGGGGTCCTGTAATCATTTTTATGATATTCTCACAATCAAAGTTATTGGGGAAGCCAGATTCACTTAACAACCGTGTTACTAATTTAATTGAGAGCATTCACTTAACAGCTGTGCCAAGAAAGATGGGTTAATAGAGGACCGAACTCTCTTAACCACTGTCTTGCTTAACAACAGGAATTTTGGGCTCAGTCATGGTCATAAGCCAAGGACTACCCGTAACTCCACATTTCATTTTTCGTTCTTTGGGCCTGACATGAATCTTGCCAGAGTAAAGCAATTATCTGCATAAGTACACTCTGTAAACTGCTAGGGAGGCTCCACCTTCACCCTCTTCCTGACTACCAGATATTCCAAGTTTGTGTTGTGGCCCGCAGAGCTGGCAGCAGATTCGGACAGTGAGGAAGTTGGGGACAAACATGAGCTAGTCCTGGAGTCTGTGGAAGGCTTGGACAAGGGCTCTGTGTCGGAGGCAGAGAGGGGATCAAGGCATCTGGTAGTTATTTAGAGCCTCCGGAGTCTGACATCAGTGAGGCAGAAGAACAACGGGAGCCTGTTCCCAGTTTGCCCAGAAGGCAAGAACAATTAAGAAAACACAGTCAACTTGGGAATAAAGCTTGGAGATGATTGGCTCCTCCCATAAAAGACATAAAAGAGGAGTGAATGGAACGTGAGTTTTTGCAGGAAGCAATTAGTTCATCTGATTGGTTCAAGCTTTGAAAAGTTCTGTTTGACTGTGCTAAGTTTGGCCATTTGGCAATTAGGTCTCTGGCAGCATTTCCAGGGAGATAAGGTGGGTGTTTATCAACATTCCCTTGAAAGACTGTGGCAACTCGAGCAGACATCTGTCGGAACCTTCACAGACTGTTTGTGAAGCCTTGCTGTTAATGACCATAATTTGCAGCCGTATAAATAAAAGAGGGTTTGGGGGACTAAGATTATGATTTATGCTTTATCTGGAAGCCTAGGGTCGGAACAGCTCTGCTACCATATCTATTTGCCCTCTGGGAAAGTGCCCCTCCTTCCTGTGACCCTGGACCACATCCCACCACAGGGCGATAAACGGTCTTGAGTTGGAAAGGAGGAAGTCGCAGCCATAAAAACCGAATCTCACCACCCTTTCTCTCCTTTCCCAGTACAATGCTCTCGTCATCCTGCAGTGTAATTCAATGCTTCGTCGTCAGGACTTTCAAGGCCTTGCTTGCAACGTCAGTCACCCCATCTACAGGAATAGCACAAAGGTATATACGATCACCCTAGTAAGCTGGTTAGAGGGCTGATAGTGGTGGATGTTCACCATTTTCTATGCAGGACGATGGCTGTATTGTAAGAAATGCTTACCAGAACTTAAACTATGGTTTAATCAACTAACCTCATTTCCTGGGTTTGCAGGCCACACTAGATTAACATATTAACACAGTTGGAAGGAACCTTGTAGGTCATCTACTCAGGGGTGGTATTCACTTACCTTCCCTACCAGTTCGCAAATGTGAGTGTGCGGCACCCTCGCTTGTTTGCACGCGCCGCATCCATGCATGTACTCTGCCTCCAGCACATGTGCTTTTCCTAAAAAAGGGGCCTAAATGGGATGCCGTAGAGCCGGGGTGGGCGGGTGGGCGGGGCCGCTTGCGATTTCCGCTCCTGGTTTGGCCGAACCGCTCCACCTCTGCATCTAGTCCAAAAACTAAGCACACGTGCTGAGTTTGTGGAATTTATGGATAGTTGCTTGCAAACCTTTGCCAATCCTGTGCTATGACCAGGCAACAGGCTACACTCCAAAGTCACTGTAGTTGAAGGAACAAGGCAAGGTCATTCCCACATAACATTATGTTGGGTCAGTCAACATAGGAACCAAGGATCCTAAAGTGCTCCTAAGGATGAGTTACAATCTGCAAGTCAGTTCAGTTGCATTTCATCATAGCAATATGGAGCAGTTGAAAAGCATCTTGCTTTTTTTTTTGTCTAATAGCCTCCTCTAAACTAGAGATTATACTTTTTTGAAGCAGAAGCTGCTTAAAGATGAGGCCTATAGCAAAACTGATATCCCTGAAATAAATTGGGTGCTAGTTCGTTCACACTTTATAAAAAGCCGCCATTTGCTTATTGGCCACAGTTTTCTTGAACCATCCACAATGTCTGGCTCATATATTGTGCTAAATTAAAAACAGGAATTTACAAACCACGGCGGTTGTGTTCGCTTGACAACAACAACGTCACATCTAGATTTGGCAACTGTTGGGTGACTCCCACCAATGTCTCTAATTTAGGCATCTTGATTGTGAATATAGAGGATGAGGTAGAAAGAACAGAAAATGTGGGTTTTGTAAAGACACACACACACACACACACACACTGTGCAATGTCTCAGCAGTTAAAGATGCTGAACTTGTCAGCTAGAGAGTTGACAGCTCAGGTTCGAGACCCTAAATCTGCACATCAGAGTGAGCTCCCATTCTTGCTCCAGGTCCTGCTTACCTAGCAGTGCGAAAGCATGCAAGTGCAAATAGATAAATAGATACCACTTTGGTGGGAAGGTAATAGTCCATGAGCCTTTGGTGTATAGCCGTGATGGCCATATGACCATGGAAATTGTTTCCCTCATTTCGGCAAGGTCTCACTCACCATCTTCAGGCAGGGTTTTGGGCTTAAAGCTGTCTTTCTATAAATCTTGGTGGGGGTGTGTGGAGTGCAGACTTTGTTTCAGTAAGTGGAATGATTCGTTGTGTGGTTGTATCATGATTGGTAGATTGGTGCTGATTGGTGCTGAGATGTGTGAGGAAGTTGTCCAGATCTCAATAGCCTACACCAGGGGTGGGTTTCAACCGGTTCGCGGCGGTCCCCGCGAACCGGTTGGTCGGCGAACCCGGAAGTAAGTAACTTCCGGGAACGGCGAAGGGCTCGCCCGCCCGCGCTCCTTACCGGTCTTTGAAGGCTTCTGCACTTCCACGCAGGCGCATGGCACATAGTGCCTGCGCGAGTCTCCGCGAGCAGCTGAAGCATCGCGCAGGCGCTAAGGCACATTCGTGAACTGCGCG